GCTACCCAGTGTCAATCAAGCTTTTGTTTTATTTTGTAATTATTACTAGCTAAGTTTGTTCTCCCCCTTTGGTTTAACTTTCACTTGTTCTTTATTTTTCCCTTGTAGAATGTGAGCTCTGTAATGTGATGTGTATGAGACCAAGGGCTTTGTCCTTCCTGGGTGTCACAGAATGCGTGCCTACAACAGTGCTGGGCTCACAGGGAGTGTTCAAAAATATCCCCGGATGAGTTCATAGAAATGACTGATTCTGTCTGTTGACTGCAAGGTACAGGAAGGGACAACGTACTGATTTGAGCCAACAACAGGCTGCATGGTGTTTCATGGGATTACGGCAGGGGCTGGGGAGGCAGCTCAGGGGTACAGCAGAGGCCCAGCATGGGAGAGGCTCTGGGTTCCATCCCCCCCACCAGAAACAAAAGCAAAGATTCGAATGGAGTTGAGCACCCCCCCATCACGTAGTGATGTGTGGCCGACATCACATTACTCCCATGTTTGTGGTGACACTGGCACCAACAGATCTCCAGTGCTGCCTGTCCTGCAAAAGCACAGCACGTGCAATTATACAGTATGTAACTGTGGTAAGGAGGACCAAGAACTGTTACCTGCGTATGTTTACTCTGCTGTGCCTCTTGCCATTAGTGCAGGGGGCTCTGAAGACAGTGCAATGCGTCATGCCCGTGGAAGCCTCAAGCCTCTCACGCTCACTGGTGCTCTCAACGGCATCGTGTTCTCTTGTGCTCCTGAGTCAATATCCTGTCGTTTTGCTCATTGTGCTCCCAGGAACACTAGGCTGCGCCACATGTATACAAACATAGGTACGACATAGACATATCTAGTGTGCATATATACCTGGTGTACATGCATGTTACACATATGGCATAATATGTGTATATGCATATGTGCACAGTACACATACAATACACATAGGTCATATATTTATACATATAAAATATGCATATTATATGCACAATTAATACATATGCATATAATCATATCCAAACACTCTATTTTGCATGTATGCTACATATGTATCTATGCACACAGAGATATACAGTATACATAGATACATACATGTATATAATATACAGCATGTGTATTATATCTGCATATTATACATTGTACATGCAAATTATATGTGTATTATACATATTGTGCTCACTTATGTATTTATTTTTCTATACCGCTTATATACTATATTAAGTATAGTATATCTCTTATCATTGTGTATATCATATAATATTCATATATGATATACATATTATGTGTGTATGATACACAAATATATCACATGAATACATACATGTTTACATTATGTACACATAGTATGCATAGTATATACACCTATGTCCTACATATGCATTTATTACTATGTATATATGGCATAGATGTGTACATCACATATACTACCATTCATATATGATTTATATCAACTATTATATTAATACAATATGCATGTACTATATGTGTATATGCACGTGTGTCTGTGTTTAATATATAAAATGCTGTCTACACGTATACAGGGCTGTGCCATCTAGGTTTGTGGGAACCCCTTGATGATGTTTGCACAATGTGAAGTCACCTAAAGGCACATTCCTCCAGTTGGATCCTCGTCGTTAAGCAGTGCATGACTGCAGCTTTGCCCTCCCTTAATCTAGCAGGCGTGATGTCACACTGAACCCATCAAGAGATGGCAAAAGCAACCGGTCCTCCATCAAGCTGCTGGCCCCAGTCCCTGGCTTCTCCCGGTGTCCAGCCCTTTGCCATAAGAGTCTGTGGTTCCACCCATTAAAAGGTGGAGCAAAATCCCCCACCCTTGCTTTTGACCCTGTGTTGGCATTGCCCACAGGACGAGGCAGACGTGACAGCGAGCCCTCCGGAGCCTCGACCTCATGAGGCCTGTGTTCCCGCTCACTTCTTGCATTTCTGCCATCACCATGAGACTATGCCAGGCTGCCCGGTGATCCCGGCAGAGACTGTGAGGCAGAGTAGAGCTGCCCACCGAGCCCCACCTCAGTGGCCAAACCCCAGCCAGCCCCCGTCTAAGGAGCTACCCCAGTGCTCCCGCCGTGTGCCCCTGACGGTGTGTGCCTGCTCGCCCTGCAACAGCAGCAGGTCCCCGGGGGCTTCTGTCTCTCTGTGTGGTGACCAGTCCCCCAGATGGATGGGTCATCGGTCCAAACTTTGCATTGGCCAGACAACCAAAAGCCAGACCTCTTTCCTTCACCCTCAGTGGTCAGCAGGAGAGAAAGAGCCGCAGACAGAGCCTGACCGGGTGCCAGGCTCCACAATTCCCCCAGGCTCGGCCTCACTTCTTCCTCATGCCACGGTGGCCCGGCTTCACCGGGGGACGCGAGCCTTGCTGAGGTCACTTGCCCCGACCCCTCTACCTGGGTGGAGGAGTCCTGCGTCTTTCAGCGGCCATTCTCCAGGGTCATCCTAAGGAGCAGGACCAGGCCTGCGTGGACTCAGAGGAAGCGGGGGCAGAGCTGGCCGCCGTATCTGTCTCGCTGTCCACATCCACCGTGAGCCCCTGGGCCTCATCCAGACGTCCTCCAGGGTCCCCCGGGATGATGGTGTTGGGACAGAGAACTTTTGTCTGGGAATCCCCTCCATCCCTGCCCTAGATGACCTCCAAGAGGGAGCAGCACATCACATAAGCCTTGTGGGACCTCTGTCTTCAAATGTCAGCATTTCTGAAACAGGGGAAGGTACGTGAGTCCAATTTGTTTCTCTGGGAGGATTTCCTCAAAGGCTTGGGTGTATGGAAGTGGCCATCGTGGGCCAGGGTGGAGGCTCAGTAGCAGAGCGCTGGCCTAGCAGGCATGAGGCACTGGGTCGGATCCCTCACACCACACAAAACTTAAAAAAATAAAAATAAACAAATAAAGGTATTGTGTGGGGGAGGGGAAAGTGGTCCTCATGCTGGGGTAATCATGGCATCTTAGGTTTCCATTTCAGGGCACATTTTCTCTTACTTTTGGAGGGGGGAGGTACTGGAGATTCAACCGGGGGGGGGCACTTCCACTGAGCAACATCCAGACTTTTCTATTTTTTTTTTTTTTTAATTTTTTTCATCTTGAAATAGGGTCTCAGTAGTTGTTGAGGCCGGCCTCGAACCTTCAAAGTCCTCCTGCTTCAGCCTCCCAGGTCACTGGGATCACAGTGATCATGGTGTTTGCATTTCTTTTATCCACCTGCCTCATCGGTTGAGCCATGCACCCTTTGAGGTGAGAGACCATTCAGGAGAAACCTCGGGTCCTGGAACTCAGTAAATACACAGATGATATAAATGAGCGGAGGCTGTTCCTTTACTCATTCACTTATTATTTATTGTGCATCTACCCCCCCCCCAAGAACGTAGGCTCCAAGAAGACGGGGTTCGTGATCAGTTACATCCAGCGATGCATTGTGAGCACTTGGAACAAGGTCTGGCACCCAATAGATCTTCAATAAATATTGTTAAGGGAAGGAGTGGCTTGCAGGAGAGAGAGGGAGCGATTTCAGAACTTAGAGAACGGGAACCCGAGTCTCCAAGTGCCCTGCGCATTTGCAGGGGAGGGTCTCCTCTAGTTTAACGCCTGCTACTCTCTGCATAAACAGAACAGGATGCACAGAGCGCGGTGGGACCTCCCACCTGCACTCATCGGGTCGGTAGGGAGCATGAGCTGGTATTGGGCCGCCACCTGGGGTGTCTATTTAAAGGGAAGAGGCTCTGACTCCTGGATCATTATCCACCTGCAGAAGTACAGCGATCTTGATGGAAGCACCGTCTCTTCTGGTGATCACACCTCTGGAAGTGATGTTATAAGGCCAGGAAATTGATCTCCTGCATTGCAAAATCGTTCTCGGGGTCTCAGTGTCAAAGCCAAGTGGTTCACGGATTTCTTTCTTTTCTTTATTTTTTTTTTTTGTCTTCTTTAAAGAAAGAGCAATCCGTTTTATGAGGTAAGCCTAAGATGATGAGATGAAATGAAAGCGCGTCCTTTGAACAACAGGGTCCTGGCTTCACACAGACAGCTGACTCTGTCCCCTGCCTCAGTGGTGGCCTGTAGAATTGACCTCCCTTTAAACAAGAAGCCAGGGATGAGCGGGGTGGGGGGGGGGGGGGGGAAGAGGGGCACAGGGGCAGGGCTGGCAGTCACTTTCTGGTGCTACAGGATGGAAGAGAAGGTAGGCCTCAGCTGCCTGGGAGCAGGGTGGTCAATCGGGAAAAAAAATAGAGAGCAAACTGATATTGAACTAAAAATATGCTGACGCTCTAACCCAGCAACTCTTTTGTAGAAATTTAACTTGCAAGAGCACAGGCAGACCTGTATGAGAAGTGCATACAGTGGTGATTGTAATATAGAGGAATGACCGTGAGCTATTTAATCCTCCCTAGAGCAGAGGATTAAAAATTCTTGCTACATTCAAAGAGTAGAATACTATGCAACAGATAAAATGGATAACTAGAGGAGGAGTCAAAAAAAAAAACTATGGCTACAAGGTCAAATCTTGTCTCCCTCTTGCTTTTGTCAATAAAACTTTATTGGAAGGTACCCATCGACTCTCTCACGTACTGTCTACGACTGCCCTTCACCCAAGGAAGGCAGAGTTGAGTACCTATGCTAGAAACTGTGTGGCCCACCTAATGACCTTAAAGCATATAGTGTCTCGCCCTTTACAGCAAAAATTGTGCTGATTCTTTTTAAAGCAGAGCTGTAGACATCATCATGCGTAGAGAGGGAAAATAATGTCCAAGAGAGGGGGTGGGGATTGTAGCATGGTACGCTAATGCACAGTTTGAAGATAAATGCAAAAATATATGTGGAGGGCTGGGGATGTGGCTCAAGCGGTAGCACGTTTGCCTGGCATGCTTGCGGCCCGGGTTCGATCCTCAGCACCACATACAAACAAAGATGTTGTGTCCGCCGAAAACTAAAAAATAAAATATTAAAAAATTCTAAAAAAAAAAATATATGTGGATAAGTAGATGGAACTGGTATGAATGGGTTGGAAGAGTAGCAGCTTAACTCACAGTTCTTTGTCAATGGTGTGGCCAGAAAGGAATGGGCTGAAGGAAATCAAAAGCTACACAAGGCTAATAATTTATTTCTTTTATTGCCTAGACTTGGAATAAATATGACATAATTGTGCTTTTGTAGGGGCCGGGTAAAGTCTCCGGGACACAGGGTTTCATGGTGGAGGCCTGGGATATTTTTGAGGTCTCCTTCTCCCACCTCACCTCACCCAAGCTTTCTCTTCTTATACAGTGAACAACCTAGCCAACTTTCAGTGACAGACCCCCTCAGATCTAAGGGCTGAAGTTAAGGCTGAACAACATATGTCAGACCAATAAATGATCAGAACTTTTAACAGAAATGTAATGCAAATATATAATTTTGTGTATGCCCTATGTTGGCCCCAGCTGAGACTGCCTTGTCCAAAATGATAGCCTCTGGCCACATGTGGCCAACCCTAGAAATGTGACTAAGCCAAAGTAAAACATGTGGTCAGTGTAAAATACATGCCAGACTTCAGAGACTTAGTAGCAAAAAGGGAGACTGTAATAGATTTCGTTAATAATTTGTCATATTGATTGCACGTTGAAATGATAATATTTGGTATACCAGTGTGTTCGTTTTTCTATCACGGCTTTAACAAATTGCTGTAAAGTAGGTGGCTTAAAACAACACACATCTATTATCTCACAGTTCCGTGTGTCCCGATTCCAGCGCGGGTCTCACCGGGTTGAGGTGGAGGTGTCTGCGATCCTCTCTGACCAGCCGCCTCAGCAGCCCTGGCCTGGCTTTGCCGGCTTCTAGAACCTTCCAGCCCTCCTCGGCCCATCTTCTGTTTCCGAAGCCAGCGAGCCCTGTGCGATCCCTCCTGCCCGGCCTCATTCCGACCTTCTCTGACCTGGGCCCCCTCTTCCACACGGAGGGGCCCTGCAGATGACATTGAGTCAGCTGCCTGAGACCCTTGGTTCCCTCTGCAGTCTCCATTCTCCTTTGTCAAGTAACAGAAAACATTTTCAGGCTTTGAGCATCTAGAGGGAGGTCTTCCCGCTGCCTATCACAGTTGGGCCAAACCAAATATCTTCATGGAATCAATCCCACCCATCTCCCCACCCTTCCTCTCGTTTAACAAAAAAGTCTTAAAGTTGCTCGTGAAGTTCATCTTCTGTTTCTATTGGACAGCGTGGCTCCAGGACAACATGTTGGAGGTGCTTTGCCAACTGTAAAGTGCTTTTGGTGGTGAGGAATGTTAATTGCATGAAAATGTTTTCCTGGAAGTCACAAGGTAGCAGAAACACCTCAGCCTGCAGACATAAACAATACCACAGAAGCACATTTACTAAGAGCTTACGCCACACCAGACCCTGCGCTTTGATGCTAATTGATGTCAGTTTTAGAGGAATCCTGAAACAGGTACTATTGATATTTCTACATCACAAATAAGGCTGCTCGGGCACAGAGAGATTCAGTAATTTGCCTGAAGTCACACAGCCAAGTAGAAGCATCCCTGTAGGGACCATGCATATATTAAGCACTTTAGGATGCAGGATGTGGTGTGGGTCCTAGATAGAACTGCCAAACCCCGGTGCTCTGGGGCCCACCTGACTCACTGCCAAGAAACTGCAAATGACACGGGTTCTTAGTGCTGCCTGTCAGGATGATAGCCCAGGCGTCCAGCCCCAACCATATACAAGCCCTCCCGGATGTTCAGTCTTGCCTGTCCCTCCCAGGGCTTTGTGGCTACCTGAGGACAGCTCACTTAGCAGGCTTCCCATGTGACTGCAGAAGGCAGAGCACACAGGAGACAACTCAGCTTCCCCGGTGCTGGGGTCACCACACAAGACACGCGCACCTGTGCACACACACACAGCACCACAAACACACTCTACGCATTTCTCTGTGCTTAACAATATGTGTGTGTCCATGCTCAAATACAGATATACGCTTTAAATACTTTTTATCCACGCTGGCACATAGGTGTGGCTGCGTGTGTGTCTGACCTGGGAGAATCCCAATCAGCACACGGGCGTGAATCTCTCCGCCCGTGTGTGCACATACCTGTCAGGACATCCGCACCACCAGGGGAACCGCTTTTGAATTTTTTTTGTTTTGTTTTGTTGGTCTCATCTTCCAGATCCTGGACGTCGACGTGGTTTTCACAGTGTATTTAACCAAAAGCCACTCCTGTGTCCGTGAGCGTGACACCTGCCATTGGATTTTGTTTGCTCTCCTGCTCTTCCTCCCTCTTCTGTGCACCCAGGGGTGGGGTGGGAGGGGACTTGCCTCCTTTCTGGCCCCTGGGTGCACCGTCCACTTAGGCAGATCTGCAGCTGCAGTTTAAGAACCAGACTATGTGACTCTTTAGCCAGGGTTTGGTAAACCCTCTCTGAGTACAAATGTTATTGAGGTACTGCAAGCCACATGGTCTCTGGTCCACAGAGTGTGGGTCATGGGCAGCTTCTGGACACATGGCCAGGGCTGTGTGGAGCGAACAATTTCAGAAACAGGCAACAGGCTGGGTTTGGTCACCAGCCAGTCCAGTGCCTGGTACACGGTAGCTGCTCATGGTTAAAGGGACAAAGCCACACAACAGAAAAGCACGTTATTAATAGATAAGGACTTTTAAGATTGAGTACAGCATCCGCTCAAGACCTCTTCAGAAAGCAATGAATGAATCAGGTAACTGTGACTGTCACCTGTCAGCCGGATGAAATGATAATTTGTTAGTCTTGGAAATGGAGGGACAATAGTTATCTCTTGGACTACTAAAAATTTTTTTTTCTGAACACTCCAATGGATAAATGGATTATGCCTTTTCTCAAACATTCTCCCAATTTTCTGGGTCATAAAGAGATGCCATTCTTTTTTACTTATAATCATTCTTTTCAAGATGAGAATAAGTTTCAACTGTTGGCTCAAGACGTTACAAAAATCAAAACTAAGGATTTCAAGGCGGGATCGGTGGCGCATGCCTGTGATCCTCAGCTTAGGAGACTGAGGCAGGAGGCTCGTGAGCTCCCAAGCCAGCCTCAGCAACTTAGCCAGACTCTGATGACCTTGTCTCAAAATTAATTAATAAATAAATAAAAAGAGCCAGGGATATTTCAGATGAATAAAAACAGTAGAGAAATGAGGCTCTTGCCTTTCTTCCCTCTTCTACACCAAGGTACTCATCACGTTTTGGCCATGGAATTTTATTTTATTTTATTTTTTCCAGCTAACATCAGATAAAACCTGAGAATCCTCTCTAAGCAGCCTCTCCTAATCAGTTAACAAGGGCTATAAGATCTCCTGGTGTTGGTTGAGCATCTACTACGTGCTCACGGGCTCAGCATGCATTAGGTTTTATAAGAGTATCACAAAGTAGTGAAGTCACAAGGAACAGAGACACAGGCAGGGGTGCCTGGAGAGTCATGTGATCCTGTTCCCTGAGCACCCACCTATTCCTGGCTGGATGCCGTCTTGTGTTTCCATTGGCACAGGAGCCAAAGAGACAGGTGTCTTGTGTTACTAGACGAGCAAACAGGATCCTCAGATAACAAGCAGCTGACATGCTCAGGTCTGACCACAGGACGCGCTGAGGCCCAGGATGATGGATCTAAGGGTGCAGAAAGCAGGTGAGCCTGTGAGCCTTATGGAAAGAGCAGTCCTTATTGGAGATGAGTGAACTCGGAGGCCTGTCTCAGGTATGCAGCATCAAACACTCAATCATTATCAAAAAGAAGAGACACTCTTTTGGGAAGGGGCAGGGGGAGGTACCAGGGATTGAACCCAGGGTTACTTCACCACTGAGCCATATGGCAGCCCTTTTTATTTTTTTATTTTTTGAGACAGAGACTTGCTAAGAATTCAGGGTCTCGGTAAATTGCTGAGGCTGGCTTTGAACTCTTGATCCTCCTGCCTCAGCCTCCAGGGCTGCTAGAATTACCGGCAGGCACCACCACACCTGACGACACTCTAACATTTTGTTGTTGTTGTTACAGTGAAGTGCTAGACACTTTTCAAAATATTTCCCCAGCCTCCTACAGCTGAGCGTGTTTGATGCACAGTAGGCTTCATGCATATGCATGGGATTAAAGAATGAATGAGTGAATGGGTGAAGGAGAGGAGGGAGGAGAACCAGGCTGGGCGGTCAGCTCCTCAGGACAGTGGAAGCCTGTTAGATGGAGCTTGGGGAAATCACTTTGGCCCCTCTGGATTTCGGTGAGCAAGCAAACCCAGAGAGTCAGGGGGGCCCCCTGCACACCCAGGCTGCGGCTTGACCGCAGTGACGCTCTTGGGTCCATCCAGCGCCCAGCGCAGCCGCCCACACTCTGCCTTGCCCCACGGCTGCGCCTGCGCGCTCGCTCCCGCCGTCTTGCCCCATAGGGGCGGCCCGGGTGGTTCTCTCTTTCTTTGCAGCAGGACAGTAAATGGTTAACACAGCGCCCATCATCTTTGATTTATGAAGTGGCCGATTGGACCAGGAAACACAACAGAGACAGCCCTTCTCACTTGCAGGGGGAGACCCCAGAGAGCAGTAATTTTGTGTGCACAAAGGCGAGCAGAGACCGCGGGCCTCAGTGGCCTTGGAGAGCCCAGCCTGCAGAGCCCATCGGGGAGGCGATGGCGGGTCCCGTACAGGGGCAGAAGCAGCCCTGTCACCTGGCCTCTTTCCTCCACCCAGCCCCGGAACTTCAGCTGCCCACCCTTGGCCCCGAGAACTGAAGTGCAGCCCTGCCCCGGTCACCACTAAGCGTTTCCTTTCAGCGTCTGCCAATCTATCAAGATTCAGCTACCGCTGTGAACCCATCAACTCCATGGAAGGGAAAAAAAAGGAACCCCTCACCACAGCAATTATTTATCCTGGCCTGAACTTCAGGTGACCTTTCCCAGTTCCACAGAAGTTGCAGTCAGGAGCACCTTGGTGGGCAGGATTTTTTTGTTTTGTTTTGTTTTTCCCATGTCCCTCTTCTTTTAACAAACCACATGGGAGGGAGGCCATGGTGCTTTCTTTTGCAGATTTTTCTTCTGCAGAATGATCTTTGGGTGGTCCATAAGCTGGGGTAGGAGTGGAACATTGGTCTGGCCAGAAAAACAGATTTTATGTTTAAAAAAAAAAAAAAGAAGTCACAACCCTGTGACCTCCTGGGGAGGGTTCAGAGAATACCTGAGCGGCTCACACCCAGCCCAGCTCACCCCTCGCACATACAAGCAAGGGCAGTTCTGCACCAAAAGATCGCTCTGCGGCGAACTGGGGAGTTGCAATATTGTCAACTCGGAGGGTGTGTACCGGTGTGTGTGTGTGTGTGTGTGTGTGTGTGTGTGTGTCCCCAAGTCGGAGGAAGATTCAGGCTCTAATGAGGGCATTGCAGGGTGTAACTCCCTGTGTAAATTTAAAGTGACCTATGGGACATAATTACATAAATCTCATCATGAGACAATATACTTTTTATTTGTTTGAATTTTATTTGTATTGGTAAAACTGACCTGAAACTGACACAAGTTTATTAGAAAAAGGACTCTCTAAAAGCGAGTGGGCTGGTCTTCTTATTTAAGATGGATGTGCCAACTTCTAGTATGATTAGAGAAATGGATAACTCACTAACATCTGTGCAAACTACAATAAAAAGGGATTTAGTGTTACCCCAAGGAAGGCAAGAGAGGCTGTCTGTCCATTAAACGCTTTATTACAGTGCCAGCAGCTCTCTCTAATTCAGTTATTCCTGCACGGTGTTCAGCACTCTGCCTGCCTGTCAACCCAGCAGACAGTGCTCGGGGCTGGGAGGTTTTGTGCAAGGTAGGTGACAATCAAATGAGCCACTGAGAAGAGAGGGGCGCCTGACCCTCGTGAAGGATTAACTACAGAAAGTGAGTGTGATCATGTCACACCATTACTTAGAATTTTCACAGTCAATTTCTGAAAATATGAGATAAGTTCTTAAAGAGGCAGTTGTCTCAGGAGCTCAGGAGCCTTGGTGGGGTGTTGTTAACATACTGCATGGCGGGGAGATGCAGAGACCAGGGGCTGGCTGCTGAGTGGGGGCGGGCAGGCCCTGCACAGCACTCACTCTGCATAGGGCACGCTCCAGCCGGACCCTGGAACTGCTATCTTCTAGGAATGATTCAGCCCAGAGGGAAGAACATGGGAGATGCGACTCAGAACCAGGATGTCCCTTATTCCTCCTCCCCTGGATCCTGGACTTCAGCCTCTCCTGGGGACAGCTGGGTAGATAGGTAGGACCCTCTGATTGAGCACAGTACACTTGGGGTCCTCAGGAGACTTGTCCAGGTCAGCTGCCTGGGAGGCTCTAGCCCATTTAGGACCAGATCCACCTCCCGTCATCCCTTTCCACCCCTGCAACCACCAACACCAACATCACCACAGGCTTTTCCAGAAGACTAAGTATGTCTGTTGCATGCAAAAGATCCAGGCTCACAGTGTCTCAGAGCCTGGCAGCTAAGGAGGCCACACACTAGTTCAGTGGTGGAGTGCTTGCCTAGCGTGGACAAGGCCCTGGGTTCATTGCTAGCACTGCACTTTAAAGAATAAAATAAAGGAAAAAGCACTCCTGGGGTCCCTCAGTATCTCAGTGCCCTCAAGGGATTGGTTCCAGGATCTTGTACTGTGCCCAAATCCATGGATGTTCAAGTCCCTTATGTAAGATGGCAAAGTATTTGCATATGGCCTACATGCATCCTCTTGTATACTTCAGATCATCCATCTCTAGCTTACTTAGGATACCTAATGTAATGTAAATGCTAGGTGGGCTACGGCTATACTGTATTGTTTAGGGAATAATGACAAGGAAATATTCTTTACACGTTCAGTACAGAAAGAATCTTTTTTTTTTTTTTTTTTTTTAGTATTTTTGATCAGCAGTTGGTTGAATCAGTGACGGTAGGACTCACAAACATGGAAGGCCTGCTGTATGCACCCAAGCCAAACACACTTGAAATACACACTTCAAAGCCTGGCAAAGGTGCGTTGTGATTTGTGGAAGATTTTAGGGTCAGAGATGAGTCTCTTCTTCGCTTATAGACAGGAGATCTGTAACACAGAGGGCCTGGCTCCATCCAGTGTACACCCTGAAACATCAGAGGTAGAGCTGGGTGAAGCCCCAAGCCTCCAACTTCAGACCCACGGACGGGCTGCCTACAGGAGCTCCACACAGTAGGGCTTTTGGACAAGTTGGACTCAAAATGGGATTCATCCCTTTGTATCTATATATTTAAATGATAAAAGTAAACCACAAACCTCTAAGCTTGCTTCTGCTGAAGTAATTTAACATCTGCTGCCACCTGAATCTAATTGAAACAATTCATTATCAAATTTACTGATCTGCTTAATGATTTTTGTATTTCTCTTTCAAAATCACCTTCTGCCTTCGCTAGCCTAGGTAAAATTACTCTTTTCTTTGACTCCGTGAAGAAGGACAAACAACTCAAGCCCCTTCATCACCCACACTTTAGAGGTGGCAGAACCGAACTTTGGAGGCTGGGGGCGGACTCTTCCCAAGGTCACGTGGAAAGTCCAGCAGAACACACTTGAACACAGGCTGCTGGAATCTCAGATCTGATTCCCCGAGTGTTGCAAGCTCCCAAGTGCATTACTAAAATGAGGGTGATAAAAAAAAAAGGACGAAGATGAAGAAGAAGAAGAAGAAGAAGAAGAAAAGAGGAAAAGAAAAGAGAAAATAGCAAGCTTTTTTTCCAAGCTGTGCATTCTTTTTGTTTTCTCAGTGGCAGTCTTTTAAAGAAATACTTCATTGTCACCAAGCACCATCATTAAAGACACCTTGGAAATTTGGACCTTTTTTTTTTTTTTTTTTCGAAAATCAGGGCTTAAATAGCAACTTAATTTATGACACTTCTGGAGGCTGATGGCATTTTTCTTGCTCCAAGGTGAGGTCATCTTAGCATCCCCCCCCCCACCATCTCCCCTGGCTTCCCTTTAGAACGCACAGCCTCGTTCCCTCTTTACTTTCAAGTAACTGATGATCCGACTGCTAAAATGTAAGTCACATATGTATGTAGGCACGTTTGAGTCCACGGTGTGTTTCTAAAAGAGAGCTCTTTTATATCTGCGTGTAAAAGACAAGAGGGAAAAGAGGGGGGAAAGACCCACGAATAAGCAAGTGAATAATTAGATCAGAGATAGATGCCACCTTCTCTGGGTGGTAGAACGGCGAGGGGAGAAAGTACCGGCACATAATTGACATAATTGATCTAGTATTTTCTCCCCTTTTGCTGCAGTAATTTTTATGCATGCCATTGTTGCTGTTATTATCCAGGATGTGATCTTGTGTGGTTGATAATACAGACTCGATATGAATACGCGTACGCACCAGCCAATCACAAATCTATAGTGTCTATTTCTGCATCACCAGGTGCTATCTCATGGGAAATATCCTCTTTTTTGGCAGGCACACAGAGCGCTGCATTATCTGTCATTTTCATTAGATTCGAGCTACAGCTGAGCCAAAAAGACTTAGTTCTAGCATATGTGCTCAAAATGGCCAGGCTGCGATTGTCCAAATTCAACCCTTTCAGGATGGCGTTACTAAACAACTGGAGCTAAAGCCCGAAATTAGAGCGAGCAAAGCGCCCGAAATTCCATTTGGAAAATGGCAAATACCATAAGCTCCTAAGATTGGAGCTTATTATGGTGATCACCTCGAAGGATCAGAGGAGACACCGGCTTCCATGGGCAAGTTCAATGCTTTCAGCACACCTTAGGTAGAGAGGGAAGGCGTGCTCAGCCTAGATTCTGACGCCGCTCAACAAAGAAAACTCAGTCTCTTTCATTCTTTTCTCTGCCTTTCAGTGTACCTGGCTCTCTGTCCCCAGGCCGGGCAACCTCGTGTTCCAGAGGGCGTTGTCTGGTGCCTCAGGCACAACTGGGTATTCTGGGTGGCATGAAGGATGAAGGATGAAATAATCCAACTGCAGTAAGTTGAGTCTCCACGTGAGACTCTGCCTGTTTTATACATTCAGTCCCTTATTTGCAAATGTGGAGAAGAACCTATTGTAAAACTAGACCCCAAGAGAAAGGAATACAAAAATTGTTGGCTGAGGGAGCTAGAAATGGAGAGCCACAGGACTGGAGAGGACAATCCCTCTACCTCTGGGGCTGGATAGTATTTTTAGGCAAGGAGGAGAGAAAGCAGTTGTTCCAACAGAGACTCGACTCTCCTTAAAAGCAAAAAAGCCCATCAGAACATAAAATAACGCAGCCACTATGGAAACGGTGTTGTGGATTCTGAAAATATTAAACCCGGGGAAGCCATGGGATCCAGCAATTCTGCTACTGGAGCTATATCCAAAAGACTGGAAAGCAGGATCTCAAAGAGAACATGGTTCACCCTGGATCACAAAAGCCTTGTTGACCATGGCCGGGGGGGGGGAAGCAACTCACATGTTTGAGGACGGATCACCAGATCAGCAAAACATCACAAAGACAAAACAGAAGAATGTTTTCCAAGGGTTGAGGGGAAGGAGAATTGGAGAATTCTTGTTTTATGGATAACAAAAATTCCAGTTGGGAAAGATAAAAGAACTCTGGAGATGGAGGGTGGTGATGATCACACAACTGTGAATATACTTGATACCACTGATCTAGACACTTGAAAATGGTTACCATGGCCAATTAGTGTCTTGCATATTTTACCACAATTTTTGTTTGTTTATTCCTGGTCACAACAAAGCCCTACTGTGCTTTTCCACTCCACCCGGAGGGAGGGTGAGCCCTTGGACCAAGGTTCATTTGAAAATGTGTGAATTTCCAGAGAGGAAATGTGCGGGATTTGGTTATTATGGTACATGCTAAGTGATCTGGAGTTTTCATACCAGGATGGAAACTTCACACACCCTACTAGCAGAAATTTCCTATGGGGAGAAATCTGTCCATGAAAACCTCATCCTTAGCTGAGTACAATGGAGGCGACTGCCTGTAATCCCAACAGCTCGGGAGGCCGAAATAGGAGGATCCTGAGTTCAAAGCCAGCCTCAGCAATGGCGAGGCGCTAAGCAACTCAGTGAGACCCTGTCTCTAAATAAAATACAAACTGGGCTGGGGGATGTGGCTCAGTGGTTGAGTGCCCCTGAGTTCAATCCCTGGTACTCCCCCCTCAAAAAAAAAAAAAAAAGAAAAAGAAAAGAAAACTTCATCCTTAGCCATTACAGATTCTGCCTTTGTGTCCAGGACCAGCAATGAGCCATTTTCCATCTGCACTGCAAAAAAAGAAATGGTTTGAGTTGCATGGCAAGCAAATTGAAAGACAGCCTGGGTGTTCTGGAAGTCATCAAGCACTGAGGGTCTCAGAATAGGAAGGTCACCTCTGCTGGGCGGGGACAGATGTGATGAGTGTTGTCTTCGTCAGCCTGGATTATTGTTAACAAATTCCATAGACTAGGGAGTCTAAGCAACAAAAATTTATTTTCTCACAGTTTTGGAGGCTGGGTGTCCAAGATTGTGTGGCAGTGTGGTTGGGTGCTAGTGAGAGCTCTCTTCCTGACTTACAGAAGGTCACCTACTTGGTGTGTCCTCACCTGGGGACAGAGAGTGAGCTTTCCTCCTCTTCTTAGAAGGGCACTAATTCCCGTCATGGGGTGCTGCCCCTCATGACCTCAAGTAACCCTGATTACCTCCAAAGACCCTGTGTCTCCAACTAACTTCACACCTTAGAGGTATAACTCCAACATATGAGTGGGGACATGGGACGCATGTATTCGGCCCATACAAATGTGTCTTTGATCTTCACTAAACCATTCCTCTCGGAGCTGGGGACAGCATGCCATCCCCCCTCTTCTCCCAGCCTCCGTACTTCATCTGCCCTTGCTCTACAACTCATTGGGTTCCATGTTTTCCTCCTGCCCCTCTCTATCCAGGTAGAACTGCAGAGATCCATTTACAAAGAAGACGTTAAAAGTAAACCGACGGGATATCGGATTGTGAAGAGAGATTCCTGTACAGATCTCTTTCCCATAAGTCGTACCATGTTTTGAAACAAAGTAAATATATATATTTTTTTTTTATTAAAAGAAATGTTCTCTTGTATTTTCTCTCAATTATCACCGTGTTAATGAAAACGAGGTAAGGCAATCTGGAAACATTTGAGTGAGAGAATATACAAACAAACTTTCAAACTGTCTTTCAGCAAGTGAGGCTAAAGTTATTGAATATGCAAATTGCCTTATTAAAAGAAGAATGATGTCTTTTTCAGCAATCAGTTTAATTACAGTGGAACCCTTCAATAGAGAAATCAACTCGTTTCTCCGAGTAGAAATTCTTTAGAAAGGGAATTTAGGTATAACACGTCAGAATTAGAAAATTCGCACTTGGTAGGAAAAAAGTGCATTTGAAAATGGTTGGTGAGGTACTAGAAGAGGAGGGAGGGAGAGAAGTCGGTTCCCAGCTCCCTAGCCATATCCCCAACCCTATTTTGTATTTTTATTTAGAGACGAGGTCTCACTGTGTTCCTTAGAGCCTCACTTTTGCGGAGGCTGGCTTTGAAGTTGAGATCCTCCTGCCTCGGCCTCCCCAACCGCTGGGATTGCAGGTGTGACCACCGTGCCTGGCTCCTCCTGTGCCTGTTTCTCAAAAATCTTTCTATTTAGAGGTCAGACATCTGAGAAATCCTCAAGCCACTCTTCAGTGAGGATCTATCTGCTCAGTCCAGGTATAATGGGTTGCTGTTCACAGAAGTCCCCACAGGGGCCTGGTGGTGCGTGATCAGACACAGAGATACAAAAGCCACTAATGGAGATCTCTGGGTCTCCTTGTGGTCAGAGTCCTGGGGAGAACAGGTCTAGAGGTACATGCAGCCCACCTCCATCCCCTCAGCCACTCCACCATCGTGCTATACCAGAGGTGTGACAGATGACAGTCTTCTTGGATTGGATCTTGGTTACACAGAATTTCAGGTTGATAACCACAGGCAAGTTATTCCTCCTCTCTGTGCCTCAGTTTCTCCTCTGTAAAGTGTGGGGGGGGTAACACTGCTTTATCACACACTGGTTTTGAAATTCCTAGGGGAAAAAACCAGGCAACCACTCAGTCCGATGCTTGGCACATAGAAAACAGTTCATATCCGCTGAGACGGGCACGTCTCCCGTGTCCACGCTGCTCCGTTGCCACCTTCCCTGTCACTCAAGTCTGGATTGCAAACTGTGAGCTTCACGCATCAGAAAGGCACGGGCACATGCGTCTTCCCTGAGCTTCCAATCCTTGAGCACCTACCCTAGGCCAATGGTGAGCAAAGGTGCAAAAAGTGTCTCGTCCTTCACATTCTGGTGCAAAGACAAACAAGCAGTAAAAAGTATCATCCGTGCATGAATCATGTAGCATTGCCCAAGTGTCTTCAGGGAACAAAAGAACAAAGCAAATAAAACTGGCTCCGGAGAACTTGCCGTGGTTTGGATGTGGTCTGTCCCCCGAGAGTTCATGGGTGAGGTCTTGGTGCCCAGGGTAGCTCTATTGAGAGGTGGTGGGACCATGCAAGGTAAGTGGGTCATTGAGGCGCTGCCCTCTGAAGGAATTCATGCAGTTCTCCTGGGATCCTGGTATTTCTCACGAGAGGCTGTTATCAAAGAGCCAACCTGGTCCTCCCTGAGTACTTTGGCTTCCTGTCTCACCATGTGATCTCTCTGTCAGGTGCTCCTGCCACTGTCATGTCATGCCGTCCACCATGAGGCTTTCACCACCAAGAAGAAGCCGACACCATGCCCTTGAGCCTCCAGAAATGTGAACCGAATAAAACTCTTTTCTTTATAAAGTCGCCAGGTTAGGGAATTTTATTATAGTAACAGAAAGTGGACGGATATAGATCTGAAGTAAAATAAGCAGGTCATTTAAATATGGAGGTCAAGGTAGGTGAAATTTGAAGGAAGACTTCAAGAAGAGGATGGATATAGAGTGGAGAGAGGTGCAAAGCCATGGATATAGAGTGGAGAGAGGTGCAAAGGCCCCAGGGAAAAGTGGGCCTGACAGGTTCCAAACACGGCAGCAGGTCAGAGGAGTTGGAAAGGAGTGAATGGGAGTGGTTGGAACAAAAGTAGGAGACGGGGTGAGAAATGATGGGGCCAGGTCTCTTGGGGTCTTGAGGTCACCACAAGGACTTTGGGTTATGCTTAGATAAAATGAGGGGCCTCTAGAGGGTCGAGGATCTGCCTCATATTTAAAAGAGAACAACTGACTGCTGTGTTGTGTGTAGATGGGTGGAGTGGGGACCTTCCAGGAGGCTACCATCCGTATCCAGGGTGGAGGGGAGGCCAGCTGCGGTGCATGTGGCTGTGAGAATATTCTGAATATGTGAGCATCCAAAAGGAAAGTCCAACTTAACAGATTTGATGAGTTTTTTGAAAGGCCTAGAGGAGACTCTAAGATTTTGTTTGGTTAATGCAAACTTTTGGAAAAACAATCCATGGTCACTTTGTTTATTACTAAAATCAGTAGATCTACATTTGTTCTAAATTGCTATGTTCTTAACTGTCATGTTTGACTCAGTACAACTGAGTGCACCATACATAAAAATGTAATGTCTCACTAAGTCTACGTCGTCTACACAGAAGATGAGTGATATTCTCTGGAAAAGAAGTTCTGGGTACCAAGCGGTACATCAAAGGCATCCTGTGTATTTACTTGTATCTGTTTCTTGAGCACACCAAATTTGTTCCTACTCCAGGACCTTTGCACATGCTTTCCTTTGTTCCTAAAATGTCCCTCCCCCAAGAGCTTTGACCAGCTGTCCATTTATCCCTGTCAGCTCGAAAATCATCTCTACCCTGCTCCCTCTTTGCCAAGCATTCAACTGTGTCACTCAGAACTCTCGGACAAGCAGAACCAACAGGATCTATATAAACCACATCACATGAACCTAGAGGCTGAGAAATCCCAAACTTTGCAGTAAGCAATTTGGAGACCCAGGAGAACCTGTGGCCTAAGTTCCTCTCTGGGTTCAAAGGGCTGACAATCAGAAGTAACGATTTAAGTTTCAGTCTAAATGTTGGTGAGCTCAAGACTCAAGAAGAGACATTTTAGTTCTAGTCCAAAAGCAGTAAAAAAACAGACGTCCCAGCTCAATCGGTCCAGCAGGAAGAGTGTTCTCTTACAAGTGTAATCACTTGTCTCTTTGTACTTTTCAAGTCTTTGATTGATGGAATGAATGTTAACCTCATCCAGAAACATCCTCATGAATTCATTGAGAATAAGATCGGATGGAATATCTGGGCACCCTGTGGCCCAGTCAAGCTGACATCTGAAATGAACAATTGCCCCTATTTTGTTCACACGAGGTTTGCCGTTTCATGAGTCTATCTCAGTTATACATCTCTCTGCCTATTTATGTGTCTCCCTCTCCCGTGAGAATATCCTCTCCATTTGTTTGGATGAGTGGCTGAACTAGTGAATGAGTGAAGGAGAAACCATTTCATGTACAATCTGAGATTTAGGTGAAAGAGGCATGGGGTTCTGACAGGGCACGGAGAGGTGGGTGCCGGGAGGCCATCGTACCTGATAAGATCTAGAAGGAGCCTGGGAGACCACCAAAGATCTGAAGAAGAATGAGACTGGGGAGTGCTGGGGAGGCCGTAGGCAGAGCTACGGGGGAAGAAATGGAAATCCATCTCTGACAGCCCCATCCCCTCCGCATGAGTCTGGCTTTCATTTCTAATTTGGAGCAAGATATCCCCTGGCCTGACCCCTCTGACTTTGAGCCATAGCAACAAATCAAAGCCCAAAGCAACAAGGGACTCCTCCTGGGCTTCCCTGGGAACGAGAGGACAGGAGTGGAGATGAGTCAGGTGGTCTTGCCCTGTCCTGGCCTGCCATTTGTGGCATGAAGGGGCTGGGTGAGGAGCTCAGTTCCCCAGCACCCGCAAGACAGTCCCGAGAGACCCAGAGTCGGGTAGACAATCCTCAGCCTGGGATTCTTGTATCAGGTTTTCCCATCGGTACATAAGGTTTTGTGTCTTGATGGAGTCTAATGAAAACAGAGGAAGAGAAGCTGTCTGCAAGTGCTGAGTGTTATGTGCATAAATGTTACCAAAACCGTGAAGAAAGAGGCCCCTATCTAGGATTTACGCTAAAAGCAACTCTCCCAGGTAGTCACTGGATTTTTTTTTTAAAAAACACGTGTTAGAACGGTTGGTTTTGGGGAACTGGAGGTGTGACATTCCTCTGTGGAGCTGTGGTCAGAGGTGGGTTGAGGTCATTGGGAAAGGGGGACCAGGAAGGCCACAAGGAGCTGAGCTAGCTCTTCAGGAAAAGTTCGGTGTGGGTTGAAAAAGGAGGAGGCAGATTCCTGGGCTCAGAAGCACCTGGACTCAGTTTACACAGGTGGTGACAAGAGGTGGCCCTCCAGGCAGGGGGTACAGACAGGGGACAGCCAGGCCATAGCCAAGAGAGACGTCAGACTGGAACCCACTCCCTAAAATTCTCCAGATCCTCTCAGACCTAAGGATGCAGAGGCGGCCGGATGGGGAGGAGGAGTGGACACATCTGTCAGCCCTCAGGACCAAGTTTCTATCTATAAAAGGTGACTTGGGAACACAGAGCTGGAAAAGCACTCTGATGAGTCAAGAAGAAGCAACCCGAAAGGAAAATAGAAAAAGATGTTAAAAAAAAAAAAAAGAAAAGACACTTTACAGAAGTGGATATCCAAATAACCAGTGAATCTAGAAGAATCTGCTCAGTCTCCTTCATCATCTGCAAAATGCAAATGAAAACCACGATGAGATGCCGCCATATAAAATGGCCAAGATGGAAAGCAGCAAGGGTTTTCCATCTTTCCAAAGATGGAAAGGAGCAAGGGTTGACGAGGATGCGGAGCAAGCGGAGCTCTCAGGCCCTGCAGATGGAAGTGGGCATTGGTGCAAACCGCTTGGGGAAAGCATTTGGCAATATCTACCTGGCATACCTTCCACCCTGGGCAATGCCACTCTCAAGGCAGAGATGTGTGCACACACCACCTAAAGGCTTCCACTAGCCGCATCCCATGTAACTGCTCCAACC